TTGTTAAAGATAAAGGCTTCCAAGGACTGGCTGGTTTTGATTCTATGATCCAAGGAGCATACATGATTATGAACGAAAAATAAAACTTATATTCTGTACAAAGGTAATTAAGCCTTTTTCTTTGCTTAAGATACGTATTATAATTAACGTTCAAGTGCGACTATTTACACACATGTGAAGAAAAGAAAGAATATAGAATCTATGAGTGGCCTTCGATGTGATGACACAATTGTTATGAAAAACAGAATGTATTTTGACGGATCTTATCCATTAGTATTCTTTATAGCCATGTTGAAGGACATTTGCCACACACATTTGTACGCATATGTTAATTATCTTTCTCTTTCTTTTATGCTGTGTTAGTGCTTTGTTTATTCATGTTGCATGCTTTCATTCATTATTTGAATAAAACCAAAACGAGTTAGTCGTTCTATCAGATGTATATCTATAGTAGATTAGGTTTACCTTGGATCGCAAGGTTTTCATTCTGAAAGCAATACATGTTAGATAGTACGACAAATATTTTGATCGTTATATGCATTTTGCTAATCACTTTGTATTGGAGGATTATTTTCACAGCCAATGGCTCTCCACAAATAAGCTGCACATATCACCTCTGACCACGTAGCAAGAATTTCGCATCCCTATATGTTTTCTCGGCGTTTTTTTTGGTGTTTACCACGCTTTCGTGAATTGTACACGTCACTCATCACGATTATCCAGTTTCCAACTTCAATTATCATGACCACTGGTCAAATAATATAAAGTTCAAGTTGAATTCGTCATGGTACATTTGATGATGAAACGAATAATCGATCAATATTGTTGCTTCGATAATATTCTTTTGATCAAGTTAGTATTATGAGAAGCTATGAGTTCGAATAAACTGTGCCCTACTCTTCTGAACGATATAACATTCAATATGAAAAAGAAAAGATTGCCTCACTATAGACTTATTCCCATCATGAGTTCAAAAGAGAGAATATCAATAGTTGGAAACAAAATTCATTTTTGAGTTGCTTGACAAATGACATAGCTGTAATCTTTTTTTGCCTTATTGCAGAGAAACAATGAAATTCAAATCGATGATGAATATCGATCAGCAATTAGAGATATGTAACTCATATTTTTCATAACTTCAGTTTAGTTGAACTGAAGAGATCAAGCTTCTTTTTTTTAATAACTGAATTCAATAGCTTTTATGACTCATAAAAGTTTCAGAATGTTATCTCTTATCATGATGTGGATAGCATGAGAGAACACAAAATTTTAAAAAAATCAAAGTCTGTTACACATGATCTCACCAGATCAGCATGTTTGACAGAAAGTAGAAGGAATTTCAACGATAATACGTGAACTTTTTATTTGTTCAAAATGAAAATTCAACAAATACACCGTGTAACATCAGAAACCAAATAGTCATATATTAAACATTATCTAAAGTGATGTAAGCACCCACACTACTGCTAGAAATATGTAACACGGTTAAGATGAATCAATGTCAATTTTACAATACAACGTCTTTTATGTTGCTCTGTGGAACACATAGATAGGTACCTCCGCTATATCTCGCTTCAACCTGCACAACTTCAATTCAGATGGGTCGATGTTTTTTTTTTCGAATATCTCTTACAAATTTTAATAAATGATCGAGCAAAAAAAAAGGGTAAGTGTGGATGTGATCTAAGAGAAGACAAACACCTACACTCACACCCACCCTCTATTTTCCTTTAAAAATGACTCAATCTTTATTGACTTTGATTCAAATTTCATTGAATCTTGTTATAAAAGTTGAACGATTTCTATTGTTTCATCATACACCTCAACAACACGAATATCGCTAGTGCATAAGTCTTCACTTTTGATCAATTCGTTATGAACTATAACTTCAATTGAAAGTTGCTTGGTACTTTCATGCTGAAGTGGACAATCATTTGATTTCAATTTCTGCTTTCATGCTGTTGCAAATATTTTCTTCAGTATAGTCTCATTAGTACAGTTTTAGTTTACTGTTTTTCAATCTAAAACAACACTTTGACGATACGTTTTAAGGCAGAGAAAACGAGAGAATAAAGGTGGTTCATTTGATATGCAACTTTGCTTGATCTATCCGTACGAAAGCTGCTGTTAGCTTGATCGTATAATCATCCGACTGCAACTTGAAAAACTGACGATTCTTTTATCTTTAATATCGAAGTACAAAGAAAACGTGAATTATCTACTGTTTCATTATCACAGTTTGATCATGTCTTGTTTTATTTGAGATATCGTTTGTGACATCTATAGCGCCTCATAATTGTCAAATGTTAGTTCATGGTATTTTGCAAATAGATGCTATTACTTCGGTAGATCACTGATATCTCTTTTATATGAAGACATCAGGATGAGAGTGTTTATCTTCTCTTTACCTATACCGTAAACAAACAGTCGAACAAAGTTATCTTTGAAAGTTTTTCACATTCTTTTTTCTCTTTTTTGCGAACTTCCATTCAGTTCTTATATCGGTTTCAGGGCTTTACTAAAGTTTATTCTACATAGTCCATTCACTAGAAATAAATTCCAACGAAAAATTAAAAATTGTCATCGAGATTCAATAATGAACAACTACATGTATCGCATCCATAGCAAAAGACTACAGAATCAAAGAATGTGCTCAAAATTAAAAAGCAAACCTGAAAAGCTTTCAGCGCAATTTACACAGGATTAAAATCTTAAATACAATATATTATTTTAGCTGCTGTTCAACAAAGTGATTGAAAATGATCTTGCTGCAACAATAATATGACTCAAGTTTTCAAAAATGTATTAAACAAGCTATTTCACGCATAAGAAAACAACGAAGGGTCTCTGTCGAATATTTATTTTCCTCAGTTAAATCACATACATATGTGTATAACAATTTATTGATTAAAATGAAAACAAGATATATGTGAATATATTGAAGAATTGAATGATTGGATGTGAAAATCAAGAAGAGTAATATTGAAGACAAAGTGTGTTGAAGAATGAATAAAGATGAATGAAATATGGTAACAAAAATTAAACAACTAGGTATAATCAAATAAAATTGGCATGAATAAGAGTACAAAGAACATAAATGATGTCCAATTCCATCTCACTGAACCGGAGATGAGCAAGTCAAGTCATTTTTGACTTGTTTTGGCTGACTTGGAAAATGTCAAGAAGACTTCTGATTTAGCAAAAAAAACTCAAGTCGAGTCAGACAAATTTCTGTAGCTCCAGCGGATATCAGGTTCACAAAATGTGAAGTTATTTTGTCTTTGTAATATGAAATTCAGCATCTTTTGCCATAGGTACAATAGAAAATCTCCATTTTTGCCTCATGGTACATGTGAATAATCCTTATCAAATAATAAATAAACTTTGCAATAACGTTATTAGCAGTTAAATAACTATCGGTCAGAGTTTAAGATAATGATAAAGATTCGGATAGATTGATCCTAATGAAATAGTAGATTAAGTATAAAACATTAAATCCGTTGTCAAAGAAGTTACTGATAGATTCCGCAGTATCGTCACATTTAGAAAAAAATTTTCTCTGAAAGAGGGGTCTCACATATCGACATCGATGGATCTAAAAATGTCAAGAAAGACATTAAAAGTCTTAGCCATATTGTAATATAATGAGAGACTAATACAATTTGCTTTGTAATAATTATATATAGGACAAAATTAGAACATTTTAAAACAATTTAAATCAAAGACTTGAGATTTGACTTGAGCTGGATAGAGACTTGACTCGACTTGACTTGGGTACAAAAAAAATCTGACTTGCCCATCTCTGCACTGAACTCCCAAACTTCTACACTCTCTACTTCAACATTTCATTTAGATCGTGTTTTATAAATATTTACTATGAATTACAATCTTGAAAAATGACTGTGCGAAAATAAATAGAAAAATCTAGCAAAAAATATCATTCATTGATGAAAAAAACAACATTTCAGATATTTGAAAAAAATGTTAGAAGACGAAGAACTAATTCAAAAATGGCTAAATGTAGAAAGAATTATGTTAGGCGTTAGAAAAAATCGAATTTATAGTTACATACTTATAAATATTTTTATATTTCATTATTTTATTATTCTTAATCGAATTTAAAAACCATCAAACAGTTTATAAAGTGTCCAGAAAGTCCCTCAACAAAGAAAACTTTGGATATCTACACTTTATAAACTGATATTTTCACCATGGATAAAGAAATGTTCATGGCTTATATTTATAAAAGAAACATTCTCAAAAATTGTTGTGAAGTAGTACAATTGCCTTTAACGAAGAATTTAACCCTTTGATGAGTTACGAAAAATCAATACTTTCATTTTTTTTTTCAATAAGCAAACTTTCAGAATATACTGCATAATAAAACATGTAACTGTACTATAAATACGAGACCAAGAGATACTATTGTGGAGTATTAATTTTAAAAAAATTAGATGTCATTTATTCTTGGCTGTGAAAATAAATATATTGTTTCTTTTCGTAAGTTGGGAAAGATTCAAATTTTTTTATGTTTAAATTAATAAATCAAATGGTTGATATTTACAACCTTTTCACATTTGTTTGCTCGATGCTGATCTCTTTTTTCTTTTACAAAACACATGCAAACTATAAGAAGTTCTCTTTTGATCTACCCTTTTTTTTTCTTTTTATGTATATAGAGAAACAAAATAAAAAGAGCAAATAAAACTGTTCGACTCTCATACCTGAAAGTTAAAATGTGAAACAGAAAGAACAAAGAAAAAAGTATGTCTCAATTGCATTGGTTTTTATTGATTTTGCGTTGTGCTACACAAAAATATGTCTATTAAAAATGCATGAGTCATTTTCTTCTCGTGAAAATATGCTAAAAGGTTTTTTTCCTACGATTTTATCATGTGAACTAATAGATAAAATTGTTTATTTTTGTTAGCAACAATACTTACACTTATTTGTTAACGAACAAAAAGATTTTTTTATAATGTGCAAAATAAAAATTCACTATGGTTAGTATGTATTTAACTAATTATAATTCTATGTATGCTTTATCTAGGATGATACTGCATTAGAAAGTGACGAAGACATCTTGGATTATAATGGTGAATTCAACAATAGTACGCCTTGTAAGTTAATTGTTTTTTATTTTATTTTCATAGAAAAGATAGATTTATTTATGAATATATGTATATATAGAGATCCTTCAAAATGTGAAAATGAAATTATTGGTATTGATTCATTAACGAAATGTTTTGAACAACGTTACGATGCTTGTCCTTTATTCTTCAGGGGCTCTCTTCAAGATGCATGTCAAGAAGCTTTTAATCCGATTGTAATTCAAGAAGTTTGTTCACATCTGTTTTTTTCCTCTCTAAACAAAATAGATCGATCTTTTACTATTTTTCTTTTAGCGTCGTCCAGTACTTTGTTTACATACATAATGATGATAGTCTACTTAGTCGTACATTTTGTGAAACAGTATTTTGTTCAACAAAGATTATCGATTATTTACTTGAAAATTATATTGTCGGGCCTTGTGATATAACATTTCAGTCAAATAAAAATACGTGAGTTAGATATAAAACAAAACAATGAGACTGTTTGTTTTTCTTTCAAACCAGATTGATGAAAATTTTGGAAACAAGTATTTTCTATTGAATTCTTGAATGATTTTTTCGTTGAAGAATAGCCTTTGATGATTGGGATTATGCGACGATTTGAAGACAAAGCAGCTGGATTAATAACATCTGAATATCAATTCAAATCATTGCTAAAAAGTGATAATTTAATAGGCAAACAAAAATCGACTAAGTGTGAAATAGTTTTGAATCAATTGCGTCTTTTCAAGAAGCAATGTAATGAAAATGAACAGAATCTAGTGAGTCATTGTTATTTGTTTTGCATTAAAAAAAATTATTCGTTTAAGTCCTTTGATTTTGTTGGATCGAATGGTCTTTGTTGGGAAATCATTCTTGAAGTAATCAAATATCTTTCATTAAATGATGCCATTTCTGCATTTTCTACTAACATTCTTTCTTTATTAAACAATCATTCAATAAAATTTCAATTATCTAATCCTGATATTCCATTTATTAAAATGATTCTTCGAAAACTCAAACCTGAACAAATTGTTTCTTTACAACTCAATGGAGTTCGAATATGGTCAGAGACTGGATTAACGTTTTTATCTGTCTTCAAAGACGTCATTTCAATGAATCTTCTCAATTTACCATATAATAGTGAAATCAATAAATATGAAAAATACTTTCCAAATTTGACTTGTCTTTCCCTTTGCTATGATAATGAAGTAAATCTTAATACATTTAGTAGCGTATTCAATCAACTTTGGTATCGAATCACACGATTTGAAATTCGTTGTGCAGGTACACTTTGTACTCATTATACCATATATCAATCAAAGGGACCCTACAGAGTAAATTTTGACGTGAAATATTTTCTATTTGACGTTGGTCAATTTCCATTGATTTCGATGAGCAATTATCTTGGTTATTATAAATCATATTGTTTGAAATCAATAATTATTCTTATTAAACAAATGAAGAACACTCGATATGTTCATTTAATCATCAATAAATACGATATTGAACTATTCTTGGATATACATGAATGGAAGATTCTCGTAAATGAATGTTCTTATTTGAAGAATATAAAATTACAAATATTAGAAAGTATGTTTCAAGATAACGCATTAACACAAAAAGTATTCGAAATTCAAACAGCATTGCGTAATATACGACAACCAATCAATTTTCAAATTTTCGCTTTGTGATAATTTTTTCATGTTATTTTTTCAATTTATATTCATTCTTTGTAAGATTTATTTATCTATTTTGATTAATTAATACATTCACTCACTTATATTTCTGTCTTTCATATTCATTTTTAAAAGGTTTTTTTTAAAATCTTTCGTAATTATACTGTTACACAATTAAAAAATGTCCATAAGCTTGTCAATTGGAAGGAAACACTATGGATTTCATTCATTGGAATCTATGTACATAGGCTAATAACGACTAATACGAGTTTATTGATCATTTTTACTTTTTCCACTTAATCCTAAAAAAAAGAACACTGTAAATATTTTGGACTGGTCTTCAATCCACCAATGGGCTTCTATTTTGTTTGTGAAGCTGGTTGAGAGCTTCACTAGTTGCCAACGACCCAATAATCTACTGTTATACTTTTCAGTCCTTTGTTATCAAGTAATCTAAGTGATGCGTGCGTTACACAATTTTTTTTTTATTAAGCATGTACCAATACGTCTCTGCTAGGTTACGTCATCTTGGAAGTTTATATCAGAGATGTCCATCGCGGCGCTGCCGCGCCGCCGCCGCTGCCGCTGCCGCTGCCGCGGTGGCGGTGGCGGCGCGGCAGCGGCAGGTTTTTAAAAAAAATCACCGCGGCAGCGGCGCGGTAGCGGCAGATTTTTTTAAAAGTCATCGCGGCAGCGACGCGGTAGCGGCAGGTTTTTTAAAAAACCATCGCGGCAGCGGCGCGGCAGCGGCAGGATTTTTTTGGAGGACATTGAAAAACTGTATGAATTTAATGGAATTTCACGATTTACAAATGAAACGCCCTGATATTGAATAAATCTGATGGACTAGTACCCATATCTCTGGTCAAATATAGTCACAGCAGTGAAATTAGAAACACTTTTTTGAAAATCGTCGCGGCAGCGGCGCGGTGGCGGCACGTTTATTTTATAATTCATCGCGGCAGCGGCGCGGCAGCGTTTCTTTTATAAGTCATCGCGGTGCGGCAGCGTCGCGGCAACATTTTTTTATAAACCGCCGCGGCGCGGCAGCGGTGCGGCAGCTTTTTTTTTCTAAGGCCGCGGCGCGGCAGCGGCAGATTTTCAGCCGCGATGGACATCTCTGGTTTATATACAGTTCAGAAACGCGTGGAGATATATTTTAATTATTTTGAAAGAAGTATAAAGTTTACTTTATACTTTGAAGTGAGAACTTTTCATTTTTCTAAAATAAATCTTCTCATGTAATGTCAACTCGCCATCGTTCAGTAAGAAAACTTATTCATATTTCTGTTTCCTTATTAAGAGTTTACATAGTTTTTTTTTCTACACTAGATGTAATTCCATAACAGAAAGAGCCGAGTAGTATAGAGTTTAAGCATGCTTATTTTCAGCTTTTGAACAGTTGTTTCTCATCAATGTCCATGCGTGTATACATCCTTCGACACACGAAAAAAACTCGATTGTTCATTAATAGAAAATATGTAGAATCAGTGGAATTAGATACATCAGAAACGTCTTAACCAAACAGCGAAGATCAATGAACTCATCTCTTCAATGATTTACATTGGTATTTTGTGCTTATTCGAATAGAATGAGGTTCTATTCTATGAGAAAGTTTAACTATTCTTTTCGTTCTTTTACTTAAGATTGCAATACAAAAAGAAGAAACGTTGACGTGTATATTACAATCTTACATAAAAGAAAGAGAACGAAAAAATAGTTATATATTTATAAAGTTTTTGTATATTTTACTTGTCATTCATGTTGATAATGGAGTGGTGTGGGTGTGGATGTGAATGTAGGTGTGATTAGAGAGAAAAGCTACATCCACATCCACACCTACACCCACACCCTACACTCACATCTACACCCAAATTCAATTACAATCAAATCATATTTATTTGAGAAGAAAGAACGAAAAAGCACTCGTGTAGTCTCTTAAGCATTTGAGGTGAGGTTGAATTTTTGCACTCGACTATTTCCCGGATCGACGACATAGAGATTGCCGTGTCGATCGAATGACAAACCAACGGGTTGATTGAGTTGGTTCGCTTGTCCTCCTTCACCGTTTCCACCAACGATGACACTTCCCTTTGTGGCTCCTTTGGGCCAACGTATGACTCGAGCATTTATAGAATCAGCTACATAGACAGTGCCCAATTGATCAACAACGACTCCTCGAGGATTTGCCAATTGTGTAAGACCATTTCCTTGTCCTTCACCACCAGCTACGACAATGCCTTGTTTTGCACCTTTCATCCATTTCATCACGCGATGATTTCCTAGATCAGATACGTAGATTGAATTATCTCGATCGACGAATACGTGATATGGATTATGGAGTTGATCAAGACGATTTCCACTTCCATTGCCACCTGCCACTACTGTGCCCTGACGTTCTCCTCTTCGATATCGTCTCACTTCGTGTTCTCCATAGTCAACGACATAGAGAGATCCATTCTCGTCCATGGTCAAACCCGTACAAAGAATGTTCGATATTATTGTTTCTCCACTCTTTCCGTTTCGACGAGGCCACCGAACTACTCTTCTATTGGCATAGTCGGCAATGATGAGACTATCTGTCTCTTTGTCGACAATCACATCTTGTGAGTAAGATAACTGATGAGCCTCACTTCCTGCGCCATTTCCTCCGGCAACCACTTGACCACTCGTCGCACCTGATTTCCATTCCATTATACGATGATTCCCATATTCAGCGATATAAGTAGTTTGCTGATCATCATCAATAAACAAACCGCATGGATTTGAGAGCTGATTGGTTCCACTTCCTTGTCCATTTCCTCCAGCAATGGTGAGACCATTTTGTTGCCAACGAGCATTTGGATGAATATCGATGGTACTTGCACGTAATGGGACGACTGTCGCTGCAAAAAAAGATATTGTTAATTATTTTCTTTCTTCGAAATGAAATTAAGAAATTCATAAAGAGATTCGTGTTTTCATTGATGCTCAAGGTATTGCTAAAATTTCTAAGTAGAAAACGGAATAATACGATTCTTTTTTACGTGCTAGTTCACTGTGTACTGCAGCTAATAAGTGAATTAGGAGGACAGTTTGAATATTGATAAACTAACGCAAGATTCAGGTTTTATGGTTATTCTAGTCATCTCCATTGTGGAACAATCAAAAGAAAATATAAAAAATAATAGAACAGTCTTCTTTTCTATCGCTGAATAAAAAGGAAATTTTCTCTCAAGCTTTGTATGCAAAAATATGATAATCTCAGATTACGCACATGGCTGATTTATTTATGTCGGTTGTGGGGGTGTGAGCGTGGATGGATCGGTGTGGGTGTGTATCAACTCTTAAACGACACTCACACCCAGATCCAGATCCAGACCCACGCCCACACCCTCGTACAATAGTTGAAACTTCGGAGTTCATTCACAAAATTAGCTGTACAAGTTATTTGACACGTCAGAAGTTTGACATACTGTAAGCTCGGCAAGTGACATTTCAATACTGCTAAACCGTGAAACTGAAGTAATTCCGCAAAGTCATGGATTTGCACACATTCATCAAGATTATCGATGTTCTCAAAAAAATTCACAGCTAGTTGAGTGAGAACGAATATATACATACGCTTTTCACATCGATAGCCCTCCCAAGATGATTCGCACTAAAATATTATAAAACACATGCATCCCTAGAGAAAGTACTGAGTTCAGGGTACCCATGTACTGAGAAAGCTCTAGCAGGGTACCCAGTATGGGTACTTTGAAAATTCTCAGTAATTTTACTGATGTATGTACTGTTTGGGGTACCCGTAAATGTACATTCACTGAATAAGTACCTGCATGGATACACAAGTCTGTAACTTTACTGAGGAAATCTCGACAGGGTATCCTAAATTTTTCGCGTTCTGTGTGGCGACTATTCATTCACCGTTTTCTTTTTTACGTACGGCTCTATATAAACAACTCGATAAATCATAAGAAAATAATCAATTTTCATACTATTTTTTTCTAAATTATTTCTTGACTGTTTCTTAGTCGAGGAAATGCCGAGCTTGGTCGTAAATTTAGATCGGACTACCCTGAAGTGGTCTACGACCAACTCAAGTTGAGTCGGATCCCGACATTGTTCCTGCTAAGTTTTTCGAATTGAAAAAATTAAATTGAATAAAGTAAAAAAAAATCTAGTAAATTATCTCAAGAAAAAGAAAAAATTTTAAAAAGTCAAAGATCAGGTTCGATCCTGAACATACTGAAAATTTGGTAACAGGGTACTTAGAAATACTATACAATGGTACCCAATTCAGTACTTGATCAGTGCCTTTAGGTACCCAATTACTGTGCATTTTCCAGCAGGGTACTTGCCAAAGCACCACTTAGGTACCTGTAAGTACCTGCAAGTACTTTGGTACCCAAAAGTTCCTGTGACATACTGGTATCAGGGTACTTTTTTGGGTACCCTTAACTCAGTATATTCTCTAGGGATATCTTCAATAGCGATCTGCTGCAGACTTACAGTACAAATGTTTGGTCCAGTGCAATTTCCACCATTCGAGCATTGAGGTGAACACAAGGCTAAGAAATAGAAAATAATCATTGTACCGTCATTTCTTTCAATAAAAAAAATCTCAGGATGTTCATCAGCATTAGTGAGCTTTCCGGACATCGACTGAGAATAATTGCCTCATCGAATCTTTACACGACACCGATCCCTGAATAATAAATGAATACATACGTAAATCACATCGAGATCCGATCCAGAACGATGTACACTAAATAATTAAGAAAACGTGAGTGAAAATTTGGTTGAAGGTCCATTTTATGCCTACCATACAATTGTTCGGTCCAGTACAATAGCCACCATTCAAGCATTGCAATGTACACACGGCTAAGAAATTAAAAAAAATCATAGTCCAATTATTTCTTTCAATAAAAAAAAATCGAATTGTCTGCATCGATATTAGTATATTTGAAAAAAATCAGCTATGAATGTGATTGTTTTATCGAATTTTCTACGACACTAGCCAATGAACAATGAATGCATACATACGTGTTTCACATAGAGGTCCACTCCATGATGATGTACACTAAACAAATGCGTTAGATATGAGTGTGTGGTCAATCGCAAGAACCTAGGGAACTTACGGAACAGTAGTTCGGCCCAGTACAGCTTCCACCATGTAAACATTGTGGTGAACACAAATCTAAGAAATAAAAAGAATATTCCGATCATTCGTTTGAGATTGTTGACGTAAGTGTACAAAAAATTAAGTGTAGCATATCGGAAACGAATCGTTTTTTTTAAATGTGACATAAAAAACAGAGAGACCGAATTGACGAAGGTTCACTTTAGACATAGAGTGAATTACTACGAAAAAGAATATCGAGGAAATTCTCGTATGACTGAATGTATATACCTCCAACTCAACTTAAAACTCATTCCATAATTAATCGGAGACGGAAAAATTCGATTCGTCCACTAAAGTTAACTTTGCTCTAATACGGCTAATTGCAATGACTTTTAGATAGCCTGTATAGGCGTTGACAAATGAAGAAATTAAAAAGAAACTGTAGACTAGCTTGATGACTTCAGAGAAACAAAAGGAAGAAGATATGGAATGCTATCTTAAGCAAAAAGCTATAACAAAGAAAGAAAATACCAAGCAACCTTACCACCTTTTTTTGCCCGTGTTTCTATCGGTTTGCTAAGGCTACTGATTCCACTAAGTCCGATTACAGTTACAGATTGCACTTTGAATTCAAATAACGTTTTTGATGGTAGATTCCGAATAATTATCTCTTTCTGATTAGACTTTGTGTAAATTTCAGTCCATTTTTCCTGTTTCTCATTTTCATCTTCATCACCCACTGTTTTATTCTTGTACTTTCGATACAGAACTTTGTAGTTCTTTACTTTTTCGCTTCCGGTAGCTTTATCTATCCACTGAAGTGTTATACTATGATCTGTAACAAACTTCGCATATGGTGCATATGGCTTGCTAGGTATAATAAAGCCTTCTTTTTCTAATCCATCTTCGTAGAGAATAAGTTCAGCGCTTTTGGCATTATTAATTGAATATCCTTCATCAACAATAAATTTGATTTTTCCATTTTCAGCTTTGTTCCCTTCAACGAATTCTATAAAGTCTCGTAAATTTTTGCGAATTTTAGCCATTATGTGACGGTCTGTAAACCATGTTTTGCGTTTCAGAGGACTGTTGGACGAATTAAACTTGTTCTTATCATATTGATAATTGTGCATATCGATAAGTTGAGGGTCATTTTCTTCAACGAAACGAAATGAAAGACAGAATATGTACTCATATCTAGTGTCACTAATGACTTCATCTAGTGATGATGACTTAATCGTAATATTTGAACTGGTATTTTTGGCCAGATTTTCGATCCACGTCTTAATTAACGTGATTTCTTGTTGTTTTTCTCTGAGTCATGATTCTAGTTTGCTCTTATTAAATGGCGATGCATCAACTTGCTTAAACAAATTAAATAAAACAGATTCTTCAACACCAGTACTTCCTCGTATTTTCGGTAAATACAATGCGATCTTTTCTTTCAAATCACGTTGAAATTCCGATAATCGTGCACCAAAATCTGATAAATGTTCATTCATATGATTAAAATACGCAAATATTGTACTCTTCGACAAATCTGATGCTTCTACTTCCATACTATGTAAATTTTCAACTACCGATATTGAGTAATCAATTAGCTTCGATGAAATCTCTCGAACAAATCTCATTGCTTTATTATCCAATAAGTTTAAGGGATAAAGCCACACCTTTTTTGGTACGACATTTTCATTTTTTTCACCTAAAAGCGATGGCAACTGACGATAAATTCTAACAGCTTCATCGAAGGTACTTGGATTTTCACTCACACGAAAATCACCATAGAATTTGCAATTCAACTTATCAACAAAATTTTTCTCATTATCACTCATATTTAATTTAGCTTCGCCTTCAATTTTAAATCCTGGTATTTTGTTAATCATCACGTGTAACGTACCGCTGACGTCTTTTTTAGATTCTCCAGCTGATATTATTCGATCAAATATAAAAAAAACTTAGGTACCATAAAGGACTGCAGTAACGACATGTGTTGCAAGGTCTAAATCATGCAAATCTGGATGGTTTAGGTTACCTTTACCAAGATGTTTCATTGTCAATTGTTCGAAATGTGTAGTAGTGGAATATTTCAGTGTCAGCCGGGTTTCATAGGTTGTTTTTTGATAATCCTCAGCATATTTTGCAGAGCCTGAAATGCTGATTAGACCACTGTATAGACTTAATTTTAAACTAGCTTCCACTCCTAAGGCATGTGCCTTCTTCTGTAATGAATCTTCAGTGATTATTTCATAGCCAGTATA